ACCCCCACCTCCTCGGGGAGGAGGGGGTTCACCGCCTCGAGCTTCATGTGCTCCTTAAATTCGTGCTCAGGAATCGACTGGAAGGTAAGTCCAAAACATACTAAATATTAACTCATGAGCTAAGCTGAGAGACCACTGACAGCTAACCCTAGAGCAGCGGTTCTCAACCTGTGGGTCGCGACCCCTTTGGAGGTCAAACGACCCTTTCACAGGGGTCGCCTAAGACCACCCTGCATATCAGATATTTACATTACGATTCATAACAGTAGCAACATTACAGTGATGAAGTAGCAACGAAAATAATTTTATGGTTGGGTCACAACACGAGGAACTGTATTTAAAGGGCCAGAAGGTTGAGAACCACTGTCCTAGAGTAATACTTTAAGGCTATAAGTGTCTTTTGCTTTGTTTTATTTCTTCATGAAGTAACGGGAAAATGTCCTTCCTTTTGGTGTTGTAGGCAGTCTCTGAAGTCAGATATACCTGCATTGCTGCTACCTTTGTGACCTTGCTCAAGTTTTATAACTTCTTTTGACTCAGTTTCCTCTTATGTCAGATGAAATTGAGAATACCTATCTCCTGGGTCAGTATGATGCTTCCATAAAATAAAATACCTAAGCTCTGTGCCCGAATCAAATGGCTTCTCACCGCTACGGGTTCGCTGATCCTCCCAATAAAGGGCCCCATCGTACAACAAACTGTCTGGTTCCTTCCACTCTGTGTGTCCTAAAAGGCACTCGAGATGAACAATGCTTATGAATAAAGGGAAAGGGTCATCTCAAATGTATGTCTTAAAAATGTGCAGCTTCTGGGTCAAAATAAAGAACTTAACTGTATTTGATTGTTTTCTCTCTTTTGACAACTCACTAACATCAAAGTGGTTTTGTTGTTGTTTTTAAAGACATAAACCTGCTAGGATAAACAGGAAAGGAGACAACATTCTATAAGCTAAAATTCAGAATAGGGTCTAGAACAGGGGTGGGCAAACTTTTTGACTCGAGGGCCACAATGGGTTCTTAAACTGGACCGGAGGGCCGGAACAAAAGCATGGATGGAGTGTTGGTGTGAACTAATACATGTTAACACTGCTGCTGGTGAAGGAGCAGAGGGGAGAGCAAGAGAACCCTCCGCTCTTTCGGCTCCGCGGGCCAGATAGAACAGCCGAACGGGCCGGATCCGGCCCGCGGGCCGTCGTTTGCCCACGGCTGGTCTAGAACTAACTCAGCAGATTAAAGACAAGTAAATCTAAGCTGACAGTGAAGAAAGCTAAGAATTGGCAGCAGCAGGTACGGAGCAATTAGAGTTGGAAGAGAAATAGTTAAAACAAAAAGATTTGTTGTTGAACTTTAGGTCATGCCCTCAGCTCCTCCACTCCACAGCTCAGGACAACTGTCTCTTCCCCTCCCCTACATAAGATGAAATTTACCCTCCAGAGAGGGTAACACACAAGACCCCTGGCAGGAGGACACGGGAACTGGTAAAGGAATGCATGCAGTGTCCACAACATGGTTTGCATATGGAATGTGAGACCCAGCCCTTGCCTCTACTCTCCAGGCAAGGGACTAGAAGAGACTTCTTTGATAAGCCAGTGATGGCGAACCTTTTGAGCTCGGTGTGTCAGCATTTTGAAAAACCCTAACTTAACTCTGGTGCCGTGTCACATATAGAAATTTTTTGATATTTGCAACCATAGTAAAACAAAGACTTATATTTTTGATATTTATTTTATATATTTAAATGCCATTTAACAAAGAAAAATCAACCAAAAAAATGAGTTCGCGCGTCACCTCTGACACTTGTGTCATAGGTTCGCCATCACTGTGATAAGCCCAAGAAGACACATAAAATATGGCCTAGGTGTCCCCAACAAATGACCAGCCAGATCCACCCTATATGGAAGTTCAAGGCTGACAAGCCCACCAACGCACTCAGAGCTTCAATCAGCTTTTTCTTTTAGTCTCCCATTCTT